TTTTTTCATTTTAGTTTAGCATCATTTTTCTGAATCAGTTTTCATTCTGGTGAGGAATATATAAAGAACAAAAGGAGCTGATTATTTATCAGTTGATGAGTGACAAACTCATACTTTTGGTTGGGCCAAGAACTTTTGTCTTTATAACAAGGAAACTAATTATTAGAACTTGGTTGGGAAGAACATTAAGTACAAGTTTGTCCTCATTTGATGGAATTGTTCATCTCGCTAATAGTGATGAGTAGTTTCAATGAATTTTATGCATCAGAGACGAGCTGAACATTTTTTCGACCAGTTAAGGGCATGCTTGGCTCGCATAAGAAAAATGATAATGCTGTTAAAGCATCAAGATCTTTCTTCTTTGGATTAACTAGGAGAATACACGCAGCTGATGTGAAAATTCCTTTTATTTTGTATTTTATCATATTCGATTTTTTTTTTCATTATTTTAATAAAAGATAGGTATATTTTATGATAAATCATATAAAATGTGTGTGTGTGTGTTTTTTTTTTCTCGAAACGATAAATATATATATATATATTTTTTTTTTAATTTATACATCCTAGATTGGGATGGGGGGTTGAAGATACACCCCCGACCTATGAATATAATGGCCCAGCTAGGGCTAAAAAAGTCAATGATCTACATCCAAGTCGGAAATACGTAGAGCAACATCAAAAGCAGAGAAAATAAAAAATAAAAATACAAGGATCTCAAAAATATCCGCTGAGTATCTAAAGTCAAATCTTCATAAAAGGTCGTCCTGGTTAGAGTGCCCTGGCATGACGTCCAAAATGTCAAATCTAATCAGGGGCAGGTGGCGGTCGACCGAATCTGAAGGATGGGTACTCTAACTGGTCCATCCGAATGAGCGTCCGAAGGCGGAGGGGAATGTCCTCAGGAAGGAGGGTGCGTCTCTGGGGTATAGATGCCCCCGTGCTAGCAAGGAAATCGGCAGCCGGTTCCCCTCCCGGAATATGTGTGAAACCTGGTAATGGATCGAACGGAGGGTGTCTCGGATACGCATAAGAGGATGTTGGATCTGCCATGAGCCCTGGTGGCCAGATGTCAAAAGTGTGATGACAGCCGCAACATCCATCTCTATCCAAACATGAGAGAAGATCGAGGCAGCAATCTGAAGACCAATCTTGAGCGCCTGAATCTCTGCACCATAACTCGAGGAGGCCCGGAGTGGCCCATGGAAGGCAGAGATAAGTGCCCCACCATGATTCCTAATCAGGCCCCTTCCTCCAGCAGCTCCGGTATGTCTGTCGAAAGCGCCATCAGTGTTTAGCTTAATCCAAGGGGGCTTGGGTTTCAGCCAAACCACGGTCCTGGGTCGTGGGTGCTGGACAGGTAAAGGGGGTGGTGGCCTCAAAAGATGGGGTGGTGTACACCCTCTCCAGTCTCTCATCGTGAGTCTACCCAGGGTGGTGAGGAGAGAGAGGTGTCTGTCAACCTGCAAAACAATGTGAGCACAAGAAAATATAATATCCCCATGCTTCGCATTATTCCTTTCTGTCCAGGTGGCCTATAGGATCAGACAAGGAATAAGGAAGCCCACGTATCTACTGTGTGTGCGGTGAGCGAAAAAACTCAGAAGCTCAAAAAAACTGTCTGTAGTGGGTAGGAGTATATGAGTATATCTGGCATAGTGCTCCCACACTCTCCTCACAGTCTCACTCTCAAGGAAAAGATGAGCGAAAGTCTCGATCTCAAAGGTACCGGTCTCAGCACAACAGTGGCAGCGGGAGGGGAATGAGAACCCTCTCGCCTGCATCACAGTGTCAATGGGAATGCGCCATAAGAGGAGGCGCCACAAAAAAACGAAAATGGTCGGGGTGAGAAGGTCGATCCATATGGCCCCGAAGAGGCGGTTTGGCCGGTT